ATAATTCAGAAAAAGTATTCTGTAGGCAAATTAAATCACACTTGTTGGCCAGTTTGCAAACTCTGCTTGTCATTTTATCATTTAACTTTGACACCCATCCTATAAAGGAACCTTTGCCCCTTGTTCTGCTGATGGAGCAAGCAAAGCTCTTCAAGAAGGTAAATTACTTACTTGAGGTCATCCATCCAAGCCACACAGTTGGGGTGTGCATGACTTCAAGGTTGATCCTATGATAGATGGCCTCTTGGATGGGTAAGGGGTCTGTGTTCCAACATAGCCAGAACTGACAGTCAAACAGAGAACTCAGTGTAGCAACAAGGGATCATTTAAGACAAACATGATGTTGCAGACATAAAACTCACCACCTCCCTCTGCCAGAACTCAACAATGAATGTCTCGGTTCCCTTAATAAAATTAAGTCATCACAGCCCTGGCCAGGTATCTCAGTTGGTTAGAGTGTTGGCCCCATATACCAAGGCTGTAGGTTCTATCCCCAGTCAGGGCACATGCAAGAAGCAACCACTGAGTGAATGAATAAGTGGAACAGCAAATCAGTGTTTCCCTCCCTCTCTCTTCTCTCTTTAAAAGTCAGTAAACAACAACAAAAAATTAAGTCATTGTATGTTTAGGGGAGGTGGTGTGTGTGGAATAAATAGCTTTGACTTATTTGAGCCTTTGTCAGACTTCTTAAACATATTGTGCAGGTCCATAGAATAATTCTGACTCTCCCACTGGATTATGAGCTCCAGGTATCAGATGGATCTGTTTTGCTTCCAGCTCTCTGTCCAGCACAATGTCTAACACACAGTAGGTGTTCAGTAAATATCTGTAGAATGAATGAGTGAGGCTCAGAGGAAGAGAATTGACTTGTCAAATTCACAAAGACCAAGGCTTCTGTTTACACACACCTGATTTAGAAGCTCATGCTATCACTTCCACACCATCCTGCCTCTTGGAAAGAATCAAGGGAAAGATATCTCCATGCTAAGGATTGTGGACCCAGGAGCTTCCACTTCTTCGGACTCACTCCTGCAGAGTAAGGAGTTGGTAGAAGTGGTGATAGAGGTAAGCACCTACTAATTAAGCCATTATCTGCCATAATACCTTTTGGAAACCACACATTATAATCTTGACAGCCCTGAGCCCCGCTTTTAGGGTATTTACAGAGGGCAGCAGGGTATGAAGGGCAGGCCCTAGGTTTTGCAGTGGAACAGGCTAAGTTCCCATCTCAGTTCTGCTGTTACCTTGACCTTTGAGTGCCCCTCTCTGAGCCTCCTTCTTCCTGCACCCTGTGGATAAAGAGCTTCACTAATGGGACCATCGGGTTGAAAGGAGATCATCAATGGAAGTGGCTGCCCAGTAACTGGAGTTTTTGGAAGCCTACCAGCCTGAGGAGAACTGTTGACATTGAGAACAGCCTTATCAGGATCAGCTAGGCTTAGGGCCAAGGGGCCACTTCTATCAGACCTTTGCTGCTTTCAAGTGGGTATTAATAGATTCAAAAGGCCCTTATCTCTTCTTTGCTTTCACACTTGGAATTCACTGCTTTCTGCTGAGCAGGAGAAGAGGGAGTGTGGGAAGGAGGGCACCTGCTTCTACCTGAGAGAATGTGTACTTGAATACTTTGGGGAAGGCAAGGCTTTGGAAAACCCCTGGCTTTGGCCTACAGAGCCTGAATAATAGACTTTTCGCCTACTAGGTAAGCTCATGTCCTTTGCGCTTCAGCTTCTTCATCATAAAATGGGCCAATAATAACTATGTCTTCCTTCTCCTGCAACCAGTATAGTGCTTGGTATGTGACAGGTGCTCAACAAGTGTTTGTTGAATGACTATTGGGCATGAGAGGGCTTTATAAAGTAAATATTACTGTATTGAGACCCTTTGGGAAGACACAAAGAAAGGAAACTCCATCTAGAAAGGGAATGTTGCTGGATTCTCTCACCCTCTATCAGGTCCTAGCTTGGGTTTTTTGAATGAGACTTACCATTCTAATGGTAGCTTCTCTATCAGTGGAGGTGAAGGATGGGTTGACCCCACAGCTGGGAATCCAATGTAGGCCAGATTCTATCACTGGCTGGCTTCATAGGTCCCTATCCCTAATGGGCCTTAATTTTCTCATCTGTATAGTAAGAGGCTGCACAGTCTCTATGGTCTTTTCTAGTGCTGACATAGTCTAGGATTTGCAGTGAATGATTTCATAAACTGCTTAGGAAATCCTACTGTTTTCCTAAACCATTTCATAGTTTATAAAACACTTTCAGATCCCTTATGCTTTTCATCCCCATAGCAACCCCAGAAGTGGCCAGGACAATGTGCCCATCTTACAGATGAGGAATCGAAGCTGAGAAGGGTCCTCAAGGGGCTGTCATTTGAGACTTCAGCACACATTTTGGTTATCCAGGTATACCAATTTGTTCTCAAATGTAATCGTGCACAAAATTCACCTGGAATGGGGGTGGGGGATAGCTTGTGCAAATGTGGATTCCTGGGCACTTAGAGATTCTAAATTGGCCAGGGCTGAGGTGGGCCCAAAGTTAACAAGTGCCCAGGTGATTCTGAAGCCAGGGGACTAAGGAGTACTCTTGGAGAACCAGGGCGTCCTGATGCATTCTATATAGCCTCTGACATCAGCTTGTTTCCTTTTTTTTAAAAAAAAAAATAAAAAAATTATTGATTTCAGAGAGAGGAAGGGAGAGGGAGAGAGAGAGAAATATCAATGATGAGAGAGTCATTGATCGGCTGCCTCCTGAACACCCCCTGCTGGGGATCGAGCCTACAACCCGGGCATGTGCCCTGACTGGGAATCGAACCTTCATTTCCTGGATCCTCGGTCGATGCTCAACAGCTGAGCCACGCCTGGCTAGGCAGCCTGTTTCCTTTCATAGCCCCTCTCTCAGCACCTGCTCTGAGCTATTGTGCTCAGCCCAGTGTTGGGAGGAATCTGGTAAGGAAGGCAGATGGAGAAACAGTATGTGGTCAATGCTAGAACAGAGGCTTCATTGGGCAGTGGAAGAAGTGACTAACTCTTGAGGGCTCTCTGGAGGAAGTGATGGTTATCATGGGTCTAAGGATTTGATTCTTGTTTGCGTCTTAGCTACTTTTACTTTCTTTTGTGGGGCATCCCCACCAGATGGCAGGCAAGTTCATAGAAATGATCAAATCACATCTCTGCCCTCAGTGCTGGCACAGGCCTGGCAAAGAGGAAAGGACAGTATTGGTCAAATCAGCTGACCTGAGCAATGAAAATGGCTAATGGAGAGGTCCCAGGGCCTCCGGATTCAATGCATTTTCATGCTCAGCACCCTCACCTCCTCCCTTTGTGAGATCTAACATGGAGTTTGTTTAATGGTATAAATTCCTTATCATATTGTAAACATTTGTCACCTCTCTGATCCCCCTTCTCCGTTTTTCATTAGACTGAGCTCCTTAAGGTCTGAACTAAGAATGAGGCACAAAGCAGGCTCTCAAAACGTTTGTCGAATGAATGAGTGAATGAATGAGTTCAATCAGCCGTGCACTGGTTACTGAAGATAAAAGGGGGCTTGTAGGAAAACCCCAGCTGTATTGGGACAGACGTCCTCCCCATTTCCTGGCAAAACCCCTTCTGCTTGGGCTCTGGGTGAGAGGGATAGGGCGCACGCAGGATTTTAAAGTAAATGGCATACGTGGGGCAAGTTCAGGATGGGAGATGCGTCTGGGGCTTAGTAGGTGGGCCTGAGAACCTAGAAAGGAGGAGGGGCAGTTTCTAGAGAGCTGGGCAGAGAGCGATGCGGCTAAGGTGTGTGTGGGGGGGTGTCTGGGGGTCAGGTAGGGTTTGCTGACGGCGATTTGTACGCACCGGACGTCCCGTCCTAAAGGTCTCCACCTAGAGGGATTGGCAGGGTGAAGAGCGTCCGAGCGCAGGTCCCGCCACCACGCCTCGCGCACGGGACGCCCCACTTGGGCGGGGATTGCGAACTCTCCTGGCACCGCCCCGACAAAGCCTGCGCGCGCCCCGTTCTGCGATTGGCCGTGCCTCCTCGCTCCGCTGCCCCGTCCCGCCCCCCGCCGCCGGTCCGGAGCGCTACAGCCAATGGGCACCGTCGCCGTCGCCTCCGTCACTGCCAGGACAGCCAATGGTGGCAGCGCTCGGCGGCTCGTGGCTCTTTCGCGGCAAAAAGGATTTGGCGCGCAAAAGTGGCCGGGACTTTGCAGGCA